GCATGTTACTGACGTATTCCTGCAGGAAAATTACAATTCAACTGCCAAGTTGCTTTCAAATTTTGATCTTCTGAATCAGGTCTCTTCTCTATTAGATGTCAACAATTTTCTTTCTCAAACGAGTATCACATTAACTTTTTCTTCTTACCATCCTCTTCTTATTATAATTTCTGCGCAGATGCACTATGATAAGGACCATGGGGCCTACTTTGACTTTGGTAATCATACCGAAAAAGTAAGAGAAGCTTCATAAATTAATAAGCTTGAGTATCATTTTTTCTTAGAGAAGAAGAACTTAGGATTCTTAGTCTTTTTTTTTTTAACCACATGTTGCATCAATTGAACCCCAGGTTAAGCTGATATGGAAAGAGGTAATTTCAGAAAATGGTCACCCATCTCGGCAGCTTGTAAGGAAGACTTTTGGGAAGCCGAAGCTAACATTGGTTCCTCAAGTTGGTTATGTCAGCTTCTTTCCCTTCATGTCCAGAATCATCCCGCCTGTGAGTTTTGGTGCTAAGATCTGTTCGATTATCTGTGATTTTTGAATACCTTATTGGACCAGTTGATCTAAATCTAAACTAATATCTGTTGATAAAGGAATCTCCAATCCTCGAGAAACAGCTTGATCTCATTTCAAACAGGAGCATCTTATGGAGTGACTATGGACTAGTTTCGCTTGCCAAAACCAGGTGAGCTCACAAAAAAACTTGCAATACTCTGAAAGTTTAGTTCTTCCATGATAAGAAAGAACATTGTTTTGATGCAGTTCTATGTATATGAAACGTAACACTGAGCATGATGCACCATACTGGAGAGGTCCTATATGGATGAACATGAACTACATGATTCTTTCTTCGCTACACCATTACTCTATAGGTACTTTTCAACCCTCCACCTGGTAAAGAAGAGCGACATCGTTCTACAATTGGCCACACCTTTTTGTTACGTTATATACATTTGGTTTATCTTGTGTCAAATTTCCTGCAGTGGATGGGCCATACAGCGAAAAGGCAAGAGCAATTTACAAGGAACTAAGGAGCAATTTGATAAGGTATACTTGTATATGGTATCCGTGACGACCGATGTCTTGTATGATATTAACTTGAAACATGTCACAAAATACAGGAACGTGGTTAGAAACTATTATAAGACAGGGTACATCTGGGAACAATATGATCAAGATACGGGAACAGGGAAAGGCACACGTCTCTTCACCGGCTGGTCTGCGCTTACCCTGTTGATAATGTCCGAAGAGTATCCTATTTTTTGACTCCTTATTCAAACTCAAGGAAAAGAAACTCAAACTACAGACATATATTAGTTGGAAAATCAGTTTTGATGTAGGGCTCTTTTATATACGCTCATGGTTGTTATAGAGGACGTTCAGTGGTCACAGATCTAACTTTGGTGTCCCAGAATTGTGTACGTTACGGCCAAATAAGGATCAATTCAAAGATTCCTGGAGTCTTGTGACTACTTGAGGTACTCGGACTCGGACATCTTGAACGGAGATATTCCATGGCTGAATTATAGAAGAAGACGATGTAGTGTTTACATCACAGATAGGAAACTAAGTATAAAACTATCAGCTTTGTGAATAATGAAGAAAGATCTTTTACAAATCAAACATGGATTGCATTAAAACAAATTCCAGCATAAATAAACGCAATCATATGTTACAAGGAACAAACAGTGGAGAATCACCGCCACAACACTAGTTTCGAACAAATCACTCTTCACTTTATTCAAACTGTAACTTGAAATCAGTGTATTAACTTAAAAGAGACGATACTCTCTTTGATTTAGATCGTGAAGAAATGTAACAACAATGGTATCGGTAAGATCGTTTATCAGGCTGTGATTGTGACGCTGCATACGCACGAACCAGACAGTTTTATCTCAGATGATTTCCACTGCCTGCCTGGTGCAGCATCTGGGTCATACAGTAAAGTGCTGTGACCGGTTTCTTCCTGAGACGAAAAAAGCAGAAGCTTTCCACTCAGCTTACCAAACTGAAACCCGGCCCTCGAACTTCCTGACAGCGGAAGAGCCACCACTTCCCAGGTTTCATTTTCAGCATTGAACACCGACATCTTCCTCTGGTTCTTCCATTCGATACAGAACAGTTTTTTTCCTACTTCAACATGAGCTGTGACCATCTGCACTCATACATATCGAGCACCCAAATCTTAAAAAACAGTCGCTATACTCCAAAACCGAGATAAAGATTTAATACAGATTTGAGGGAACTAAATTCATGTCCCAAATATGTCCAGCATTTAAAAAAACAACAGAAACTGAGACAATTGAATGGGATCGAGACTATAATCTGACTAGAAACCAACATTAGATTCATCCTCAATGATCAAAAGACTTACAGTTAAACCGTTTTTGCTGCCACACCAGGAGCCGCATTGAGGGTTGTACACATCAACATATTTTGAGTTGCCAATTGTGAAGTTGGATCTCCCACCCATCACGTAGAGCTTCCCGTTGAAGCCACTAGCAAAACATCCCCATCTCGGACGCCTCAGAGACTCTATGAAAGTCCATATGCCCGTCTCTGGATCATACACCTCTGCACTAGACAGACTCTCGCCATCTACCCCGTGACCTCCCGCCACATAAACAAGCCCATTCACCTCAGCGCAAGCAAAGTCATAGCGAGCTACCTTCAGGTCTGCTAGCCTGCTCCAGCTGACCAAACAAAAATTGTCTAAATTTGAAACTCTTATGTATAAAATCCCACAAAAACGATGCTGAAATCAAGAACATAAAAGCGGACGAACCTGTTGAGGCAAGTATCATACTGATAAACATCAGAAGATGCAACATGAGAACCGTTGATCATAGAGTAACCAGCAATAACAAGGAGTTTCCCGTCAACCACAACCACCTTAAACCCTGTTTTTGCAGGACCGGGCATCGGTGGAAGAGATGATAGCTTACGTCCCAAACAGTCCATCACCTCCCATTGGCTCTCTCTTCCTCCAGAATTCATTGTTAAGACATAGAGCCACTCCTCAAGCATACCGGCGAGTCTTCTAACGGTAATAAACTCTTTGCTTTGGACAACAAACCTCCATTTCTTACAGACTCCTCCCATGGAAGGGAAGTTGGAACGCGGAACAAGCGCCAGACACAGCTTTGCCACATCATCAGACAATCCCGGAATCAAAGGTTCGTCCCGAAAATTCTCAGACAACAACCGTGAACCGAGGTCAAGATTTCCTTTAGAGAAACACATTCCTTGGCCTTGGTTTACAATCCTTTTCTTCCCACTTACAAAAGCCTGCATCTTTTTATTGACTAATCTTTCGAACGAGAGACAAGACAAATCTCCTAACTAAAGTATATGATTGTTGTTGGGTATGAAAATGTTATCAAAGAATCTCGTGAAATCCGTCACGTATAGGGATTTTCAAAGATAAAGGAATAAACAATGTAGCGGAGAAGAAGACTATACAAGTGACCACTGATGAATAACGATGTCGAGCCCAATCTAATTCATGTTCCATACCAATGGCTTCGTTTCTACAAATGTTAGTCGTTAAATTAATGTTGATTCTTCTCAAACACATCTCCTTGTTATCTGCCAACAAAACAAGATTAAAAAAGATTTGTCTCAAGAACAGATTTTACTTAAAAAAAAAAAAAGATGGTTTCTTTTAGAGTAAAGAAGACATACCATTAAAGATCATGCTAGAGAAGGAGATTTAGCCACCCGCAACATCCATCTTTTACAAGTAACGAATTTTCTGAAAACAAAAAATTAATAATTTCAGATAAAAGTCAACTCTGGAACGAAGTCAAGAACCAATAGAATCAACATCAACAAAGAGATAGGATACTAAAAAAGCACAATTTTTTTTCTTTTCTTGACAAAGTAAAAAAGCACAATTTCGCGAGTTACAAGCATTATATACCACACGAAAACAGGAAAAAGAAAAAGATACTGAATGGCTAGAAAAAAATCGTTTCCTGATAAAGAAAAACAAATTGACATTTTTAATTAATCGAAAACCTACAACGAACAAACTAATTCCCAAATTTGGACAAGATCTCTAGATCGGAAACTTTGTGTGTGTTTTTTGAACACAAAAATTCCCAAAACAAAAACATGAATCCAGAAATTGTAGAGAAATTCCCAAATAAAAAAAAGCAAGCAAGTAGGAAAATGAATGGGAAGGACCTGGAGCGGATGGGTTGGTTTGGAAGAGAGGGAAGTTGAAGGGGAGTTTCGAATAGAAATGGCTAAGAGATATATATAACA